CTATGCTATTATTGAATCTATTACTTAAATTTGAATTTGCGCTCTGTCKGAAATCAGGGACCTCTGGTGCGAATGTGGTGTCTRCTAAGGAATCGTCTCTTGCATTTCCGGAGCATTTCAAAGTAATTGGTGGAGRTTCGAGGGCATTCATTTCTGTTATAAACGACTTTGAATTATAAGCAAGCTTTCAACACTTGTTAGTTGATATTTCAAGCGATGTGAGAACTTTGGTTCCTTTGTAGACGCCATACTAGAATCGACCAAGGGCGTTATGATAGTTCGCAGCCATTTCGGAATTATTATTAAAAATTTATTAGCTTTAACGGATTCAATTTTCAATGTATTGTGCGATCAGTTTCTAGAGAAAACAAAAGAAATCCGTCATGTTTTGTCCCAAACATATCCTACAATTCATTGCAAATACAGTACATGACGTAATAGCTTAAGAGCTCTATCAGAAATCAGAAAGATAGGAATTAAACCAAAGTGAGCGCGAATCGTCTTCCATCCTTTCAGTTTCGACAGAAATAACTTAACACCTTTAAGTCAGTACCTCCCATGTAGTATTAATCTATAATCTATTGTATGTTTCACCACACTTGTGTAAATTCTCACGAGCTGATTGGCTGATTAGAGTGTGTCAAAAAGAGGACATGTACACTGTGCTGATACCATCACGTCTCGCGCGCGCTCATTTGAAAGAAAAGAATGATTTTCGTTAAATTTTAGACTAAAAATGTGGTAAAAAACAAATTGCACACGGTTTTTTCATTGTATGTCCTCTTATTGACACACTCTTGACGTCATAAAATGTTCAAAACTTTGCAGTTAACTTGAGTTTTGAGCATTTTATGACGTCAAGAGTGTGTCAGTAAGAGGACATACAACTTAAAACCGTGCGCAATTTGTATACGTTTTTAACGTATATAAACCATAACACGAACGAGCACTGTATTGGTAATTCTTTAAAGTGCATATAAAGGAATTTTTTTTGTGTTTTCTAAGGAAAGTGTACCAATCATTGAATATGGTTTGAAGAAAAGAAGTTCAAAAATCAAAATAGTGGGGTGTGTTTTAAGCAATTAAACTTCAGAAAATTGCTTCCAGTGTTTTCTATAGCGATAGTCCTAGGAGACTGGTTACAATAAGCGTGACGTAGCATCCGTCAGATGTTTTTTTGGTGCACATCGTTTCTAATGAGAACTTGGTGGCATAATTCATTCGAATATCAATTCCCGAATTTCGTTTTTTTTAATGTCAGATTCAAACCTGAATGACGGAATTTCGCTAGTATTTCTCTGCAAATTTCGAGATTGATCTGACTGAAGCTACGTTACACGGTTATTATCTCCACTCTCTAGGACTCTCCCGAAACAAAAAGCACAGGAGGCCATTTTCTGAGCTTGAGTCACCTCAAAAACACACCACTATTTCGATTTTTGCATTTCTTTTCCTCAAACCATATTTAATGATTTGTAAACTATCTTTAGAAAACATAAAACAATTCCTTCATATGAACTTTAAAGCTCAGATAAAAAGGCAGCATGGCAAAGTAAACTTTAGAAGTATAACAGCGYTTAGTGTTAGAGTCGAAGACGTCACCTTTTTTAGATGTTTTGCTTAGGAAAAGCGTGCAATTTCTGACTGTGYCATATTCCACATTACTGATCTTTCKTTTTGTAATTTTTCAAGATTTTCGAAATACTATACAGGGAAATCAATGGCATTGACGATGAAGGCGATGAGGTAAAAACATTGGGCACAAAAAGCTTTTAAAACATCTCGTTTTAGAAGATTACTGGCTGAATGATTGAATTAATTAATTTACTGAAAAATGTTAGAACTTTGCCTTCTATATACTTTTATATTAAAAAGACATTRATGTTATATCTTCTGTGTTATCGCTAAGAATTCTTTGGTGTCATTGTTCAGATTTTACATACCAGAAAAAACGTCTATAGAAGACTAGGCGATGTTCTCAATAGTTTTGATGCAATTGGCATGATCTCCAAAGATGGGAAGGTGGTTAATTGGTTAGGATATCCAAACTACGAAGAAGAAGAAGAAAGAAAGAAGCTTGAGGTAATATGATTTTATATTGGTGCGTGTGTATCTTTTCTGTTTAAGTTTCACTTTTACTGCTTGGGCTTTCAAAGCTGCGTATAAATCAGACAATCAAACACGGAAATGTGTCTATCTACACCATTTGCTGTTCATTAAACAAGCAGTTTTTGACGGTGCGTATTGTAATACAGTGCTTTTTTGCCTAATATATTCTCATTTAGGCCGAAAAACAAAAGCTTGAAAAAGGCATCCAAGAAAAGACAAATAAATGGGAGACTCTAAATGATCAGGTAAATTTAGTCTTATTTCTATAAAATGTTTATATTATAGCTCATWAAGCGCACTTTGATTTGCTTATTCCATGAACAGCCGTGGACTATTTCGGCAGCTATTTATGTATTTTTATTTACATATAATTATCTATAAAATGCCTGTATTTCTTCATTAAGTTAAGTTGTGTTTTTTTCACATTCGAGGTATCTCTATGTATTTGAAATAAGAAAAAWGTATTGTAAAACATCATTTGCTTTCATTGATAATTAGGTGATAACTGGAATGTTGTGTGGTCGCTTTGAGATACGAATTTATCTTCTCGTGCTGAAAATTTCTTCAATCTTTTAAACAAAAGAAAAAAAGGGGATCAGTTTGAATAGCCTGAAGGTTCGAAGCTCAAAGCAWACCCGCAGTAATTCCTTTATATAAGAAACTAACGGGCTATTGGTTAGTTATCATTTTATAATAAAGGCATATACAAGGCATCATGGCTATATCTTCAGATAGAAAAACCAAAAATCGAATTTAAAAAAGTAGTAAAGGGTACCAGAGAAGACGGATTATCAAAGACCGCTACCTTACATTTACGGCCGTTTCACCTGACAGAAAAATATAAGAGGTTTAAAATTTGCCGGCACCATTACTGTTCCGCGCGGGCCGAGCACTACAAATAAGAGAAAATTGTAAACTATCGAGTCGATCTTTTTCTGRACTGACACAGGACTCCCGTCTGTTTCGTTAGTCTGTCCCCGTTCATCACACAGGAAACCCATTAACAGCGCCAAATTAAATTAAGCTGCCAATAGCAACACAACTCGAAGATTGATTGTGTAGACGAATACGGAACAATACGATGAATCAAATTATACTTACTTAACAAATAAAATTCTGAGTAAACACAATGTTTTTTTTTTTTTGGTAACGGTAAATTAATGAGTAAATTATTAGAAAACAATGAGAATAAATTAATAGTTCTGAACACAAGTGGCCCAGACTCAAGTTTATAGGAAAGTGAGTGACTGAGTGATTGAGTGAGTGACAGATTCATCGCCCTCCAATAAATCTTCGATTGCTTCGCAATCCTCGAGTTAAAAAGGGCCGAAATATTTATTGAGACGACGATATTAGGCAAATCAATTACAAGAAAAAAATCAACAGGAATCAACAGCGAAATCGTAGCACATAAACAGACAATCACGCCAATTTTGTAATATTTTCGCCGCGTTTTCACATCCGGAAAATTGATTTGCGAAAGAATAATGTGAACAAAGGAAAATTGCGAATTCCGTAGAGGCTTGGAAATTCAAAGCGGTAGCTGATGTGTGTGACTATTACTCTGATTGACTTTATCTGCACATTTGTATGCAAGTAATTATACTGCTAATACATGTTATAAATACATATAATAAATGTTTTCAGATCGAATTTGAATCGCAGTTCTTAAGCGTTCCTTAGTTATTCCTGATTTGATTATCAAGTTGGAATGGTTRCATAACATGAATAAACAAGAACCTTTTCGTGGAACATACCGTGTCATACGCTAACATATACTTTTACCAGCGCCGTGATCGATTTGATAGATTTTGGGTATGATCTTTTCACATCATTTTTTTTTAATATTTTTATCATTGTAGCGAAAATTTAGCATTCAGATTGCATCAGTATTATCATCAGAGAATTTATAAGACAAAAGTTTTCTTTGCATAAAATGATTTTAGAAAAAAAGAACGAGTATATATTTTAAASTTAAAGAAATAAAKAAAGAAARAAAATGTTTAGAAGCTGCTCGAGTCGAGAATCGAACCCGAGATCGTCAGTTCAAGGCCGCTATTCAAGTATGATCTTGCGTCTAAAATATGTAAAACAAATATCCACATGAAAAATAAGAAAAACTGTATTTCAGTAAAAAAAAGAAGGAAAGAAAAAAAGAATCGCTTGGAAGTGATCGAGTCGAGAATCTAACCTGCCATCCTAGGTTCGACGCTATTCGAGTATGATAGTCTGTGTAAAAATCAAAATGATGGCTCCAAAATAATTTTTAAACGAATATCTATAGAAAAAATTAACATGACTATAACAACCTCTCATTTCAGTTAGAAAGAGAGAAAAAAATGAGTCGAGAATCAAGTCCGCGATCCTAAGTTCGACGCTATTCGAGTATAATATTCTGTGTAAAATCAAAATAATGGCTCGAAAATAGTTATTAAACAAAATCTACAGAAAATCAAGATGACTATAACAACTCTATTATATTTAAAAAGAAAGAAGAAAAAAAGTGCTCGAGACGAGATTCGAACCCGCGATCCTCTTTTCGACGCCGCTGTTCGAGTATCATCTTGTTTATAAATTTAACAAACGCGGCTCGTAAATATTGATAATAGAAAATGCTTCGATAAAATTCTAAGATGACTAGAACACTTATATTTCAGTTAAAAAGAAAGAAAGAAAAAAGAAAATAATTTTTTAGAAGTGCTCCAGTCGAGGATCGAACCTTGGAACTATGGATTATGTGTCCCTTGGGATTGCTAAACTGCGGCGTGGAAAAAAAAATGAATAAATCGCTGCATTTTATAACCGTGCCGCAGGCCTTCGGCCTGGAAACGGTAAAAACATGATTTAAAGGGGCATGGTCCACCAACATTCCTTTCAAGCTTTTGTTCACGCTTGAAAATAAAAATACATCATAATATAAAACTTACTCTTAATTATCCATTTATACTATATTAATGGAGATACTGGAAGATTCGACCTTCAAACCAATGGATTGTCAGGAACGGAATGCGAATGAATTTTCGAAGTCACCTCATATTCCATATATGAAGAATCTAAAACACGATCGCATTGAATGCTGGTGGACCATKYCCCTTTAAGTGCAATTGATACTCTTATCATCAAATTAAAGTGCTACTTGCATGAAAATGCCCTTATTTCAAAACTTCAAGCAATACAAATATATGACTCATTTTTATCTATCAAAAACATTGCGTGAAAATATTTGTTTTGGAGTTATCCCACATAAGAGAAATTTTGATTCAAAAGATTGAAGAACAAAAGGATGGAGTAGATGACGTCATCTACTCCAACATTTTTTACCCAAAATATTAAGGATTTGTATCAATATCTTGTTGAAATCTGTTGCTTCATGATTATTAGACCCATATGGATAGGTCTATTTGATTTCCAAGTCTTTTCTAATGTTTTSCAATTTTCGKCCAAGTAGCTCTTTAATGATCTGTGTGACAAAATCATAACCATGAAACATCATCATTTGAAATCCTGCCATTGTTCTATTTGTTTTACAGTCGATGTCCTTTAAGAACTTACTAAGAATAAATAGATATGGTTTAAAGAATCAAAATCAAGCCATTTTCAATCTTCCCTTCATTGTCATTAGAACAGATAAGAATACCAACGTGAAATGCAATGTATCGTCTGATAGGTAAGTTGTTTTTTAATCAAATGTATTAGCCTAATTCTTTTTCTCTCACTTTCCTGGCAAGCTCTAAGATCAACTAGAACCAGCCCTTATTATATACTATTATATACATACTGAGATTTTCTTATATTTCTTTATTTGAAAATCCTTTTCAAAACATTAACTAGCCAATTGTAGCAGCAAAACGAACTTCTCACACTCGGGAAAAGCGTTTCGTCCAATCACGAAGGTTTCACGAAGTGTCAAAACTTATCACGTGTCATGCTTAGAGATGGCACCCATGAGGGCGTCGAAGGGTCCGGTAACTACACAGTCTTTCTCAAGACTTCTCATACCCGACGATCAAATCAAACCTACATCGCTTACACCCATAGGTTCAGAGCATTCACTCCGGATCATAAGATGTCTGTCTTGTTCCCTGCGCTTAGTCGTGAGATAATTAACAATTAGACCCGAAGCCCGAATGGGCTACGGTTCAATAGCCCACAGGAGACCGAAGGTCGAGYGGGCTATTGAACGTAGCCCATGAGGGCGCGATTTGTCATATACCATAAGTTGTTGGATACTAATATTTCTTATATACGTTTTGTTACTCGTGACCTTTTTGACAATATAGCGAATGCATAAAATCCGCAAAACACCATTTGAATCACTATTGTTCGTTATGAAMACCATCTACTAAATTGCATAAAATTGAAAATACTCAATAGATTGTCGCAATGGAGTGGCTAATAGCATGAATTTTAGTTTACAGTTTACAGTTTGACTGCTAGTAAGGTACTGGTGAAGTCTTTATACAAGAAATTCTGAACGTGAACGCATTTAATCAGTGAAATTTTGCTATACCAACAAATAACACTAATTTGCACTGAATCTGCATCTGAACTCAGTATAAATCTCAACTTTGTTATGTTGAAAAATCCAAATTCGCTCAGTTTGCCGTAGTGAAATACCCAAGCTATTGAYCATATTCGCCAACTTCAAAGGCAGACATAAGACATTTCTGTAGCTTTTAACGGGTTTTCTCTTTTAATTTGTTATTTTGAGCAAGAAATCGAATTCACTTTTTATGCGGATTTTACTTTATGAGAACTTATACACTGCCGAAAGATTTGATTGTCCTGGGTGGCTAATGACTGCAAGGAGAATTGAAATGACTATCATCAAAGAAAYATTTTTGAAGGTAACGATATAAAATGGCCTCTCACCACGGTCTTTGCCGCTTCTATGCAAATGTTTGCTGTTTTGTAGTACCGAAAAGTTCATTATTATTGCACAGTACTTCGTTCGACTCGTTTTGTCGCGTATGTGGATTTTTGCTKTTTGAAGGAGATAACTTCCTGAAAGAAACAAGCTTCATTGCATGTAACTTTTTAAGTCATGGCCAGAAAATCCGGACATATGAGCCCGCAATCGCAGCGGTACTTCGCATAAAGCACAAAAACATGTTTGTTAAATTTTACAAAGAAATGTAAGGATCAAAAAGACTATTTGAGACTAACATCTCATCATCTCTCATCATCTGTTTTACCTGGAAAGTTTTCCAAGATGAATTCCTAGAGGGAAACTATTCTTGATTCCACTCGTAGGAAATCCAAATAAATACAATATTCTTAAGAGCGTCCTTTTTGACAAATTTATTTTCCTTTCGTAGTCTCCTTTGCCCTTGTATCTCATGGTGAAAATCCGCGAAGAAGCGAAATTTCACCGTAGCTGGTCGTGTTTCTTTACATGTCACTGATATTTCAAAGATCATTTCTCAAAGTCCACATATTGAGGTAGAAACAGCGATTTTCAGCTATTTTGAAGACGATAAACAGCGTTCTTTTTGGTACTAGAAATCGTACAATTTGAAAATACTAACTTGACGGTGAAATGGATGGCGAAGACTCGTGTTTCACGCGAATAATTGGCCTCGATCTCCCATTTTCTTTCTATTTTATTCGCCGTGTTGGGTACCAAAATAAACCTTAGAAACGTGGCTTTCAGACTGAGACTACTTTAATTTTGGCGGTTTTTACTGGCGCCTTGCGCGCACTGGTAAATAGCGGAAAATACGAACGAAAGATAGACCAATCAAGTCTACGCTATTTAGTGTAAACAATGTCAGACCTTTTAAATTCCTTAGAAATGTACAAGTATAAACAAAAGATCACAATATCAACTGATGATCATTGTTTAAAATACGTGAGGCAAACGTATGTTCCAGCAAATAATGATATCTTATTAACCGAGCGCGAAGGCAGTACGGGAAGTCAGAGGAGATATCAGTAGTATCCCTTTATGCTTTGCGCGCGTGGTTTGTTGACAAAATGGCTACTATTTCCGGTGATATGCCGGGTAGTAAGTTTCCGGTCCAGAAAATTGTCTTTTTTGCATCTTAACAAGGGAAGTTCCGAAAATATTTGCTGTCTGATTAATTTTCTTTGTATTTCTCTTAATTTTTTGAAGTAATGTTTGTTTTAAGTATGAGAAAATTGCCGTTTTGTAGTTGACATTAGCGGTTTCAATTTAAGTTATATAACATGACGATCGGTTCAAAAAAAGTGCTGTTTTTACACTTGTTCTTTGAGCTATTTAAGTTTTGTTAAGTCAGATCTATAGAAAATAAGTCATACGAAGTTACAGTCAAAAAAGTCTCAAAAAGTCTCCATGATTTCAAGTGCTAAACAGAGCTTGAAAACCCTTGAAATTTGCTAAGTTCGTGTGAGTCGCGTATCTTGATTAGGCGTAAGGTTGATATCGCTACCAGCGAGCTATGCTACAGTTTCGTCCATACAAATAAGTTAATCATAAAACACACTGAAATACAAGTGTCAAAGTACACATCAGTATATTTTTAACATCTTTTTCATTGAACGATTTTCAATATAAAACATGTCCAAAAGAACAAAACTCGTGTCACTGTAAGCAATGAGTTTACAAATCGCGCATTTGGTTTATTTTTTGGCATGCAGCAATGAAACTGAAAACACTACCCATAAATACTACAATAAAACAGAAAACAAATTATACCAACTAATGATCAAAGTAAGAACTGTTTATTCATAAAATGATTTCTTTCAATGCAAAACAACAACTTCGGTTTTTTAGCATCAAAGCCGGACTTCAGTTCTAATCTAGTTCTAAGCTCATTTCAAGTAATTTCAAACAATGAAAACAAGTTTTTACTAACCTCTAAATCTGACGAAATATAAACACGGACTATAAAGTAGGACTTCTTATTTTATCAAACAGCTTTCAAHCTTTTGACCGTCCACAGCGAGAGGAATCAAAGCAACTCACCTCTCCGACAATTTCCTTATCGATTTATCTRCAAAACTGATGTCCACTTGTCGACAAATAAGGTCTAAAAAAGCAATTCTTTTTGTCGATACTTGAAAATTGTTCTTACTTATACAATGAATATATAAAAAAGAAGAATCTTTGAGATTTTCATCTCTATAATCGAAATTCTAGAGATGAAATTGGCGAACGAGTCAAAGTTTCCCGCCATTGATCTTCACTCGGCCAAGACCAAAAACAAGTGATGACGTCATATAAAAACCGATAATATAGTCTGAAACGCAATGCATTGTGGGGTACTACTGTTCCCTCCTCTGACGGGAAGTTATGGACCGAGTTTTTTTCCACTGACTTATGGTCAGAGCGCGTAGCGCGAGGGCCATAAAAAGTGAAAAAAACGAGATTCCATAACTTCCCGTACGGCTCGAGCAAGCGAGGTTAATAAGATATTTATTATATAGCATTTTCAGGGAAAAATAGTAACAATTAATAGAGAATCGCGCGGACATAAAAATACATTTTTGT